AAAAAAACCTTATTAAGTTCTTAAACTTATCTTAAAATAAAATTTAAGATCTTAAATTAAAAATAAAATAGATAAAATTTTTAATTTTATTAATGATATAAATAAATCTATCTCATTTATGGTTATTCATTCTTTCATAGTACTATTAAGAGTAATGATCTGTGGGACGATTTTAAAGATGAAACAGAAGACGACAAGTGAAACAGCCCTCAACAACAATTACCAATTTGATCTTACTTTCATTTGTCGTCTCGTAAAATCACCCCCTCAAAATCGTTCCACATATCATTACTCTAATATTAAACATAAAATACAATTTAATTCATTTATGAAAATGATTTATTTATATCATTATTAAAATTAAAGAATTTACTTATCTTATTTTTTGTTTAAGAGTTTATATGTTATTTTGAGATAAATTTAAAAATTTAAAAAAAGTTCTTGCCTTGAAAACTACGTTAACTAACCCGCTAACCCGCTCAATGGTCACAGAGAAAATCACTGCCACAACCTAGGTTCTTAGGCCATGTACAATGCACGCCCTCTTTAATTCTCTCATTAAAAAAAATACAGATTAGAGTAAGGTGAAAGAGAAAATCGAGCTCCTTTTTTTTTTCTTTTTTTTCAAAAGGGGGACATATAAAAATAGTTTACAGTCCAAGCTGTCTGTTGTAGTTTCATCCAACAATTAAGCTTAGATTTTTTAAGAGAACCTTGGTGGTTTCTTTACCGCCAAGAGAGAAAGGTAAAACTACTTGTATGAAAATTCATAAATACATTTTCTCTGTTCTTGGACTATCTAAGTGTGTTGTCTTCTTATTTGTGTCAATCATATATTTTTTTGGAAAATTTTGAAAAAGTGTAATAAAATATAAAGTGTATTGAATTACATTATATTAATTATAAATAGAGGTTAAGTCTTTTGATATTAATATCCTTTTTTATTTAAGGTTCATGTTTTACAGTTTGACATAATTCAAATTATAAAATAATATTTTTTAATTTTTTGTATCTTATATTTAATTTTATATGTATGTATATATTTGTTTAATTTCATATAACTATGTACTTTATTTAATAAGACCATAAGTTTCAAATTTCTTTAAAATAACTAAATTAATATGCCATGTCACATTGTAGCAAACGTTGCACAAAAATAGTGTATCATTATCATAAAATTTGTATGAAGGAAAATATCAAACTGATTTTTGTAATTAAGTAACAAATTTAGATATTTAACCCTTAAAAATAAAAAACAAAATGCTACTTTGTATTCCATCCCATATAAATTGTAAAATAATTATCTATTAATAAGAGATAAATTTCTACCATGAGAATCCCAACCTTAATTAATGTTGAAGTGTAAGCACAAAAGAAATTCACAATCACAGCGCAAGATTATTCATCCAGTCGTTGATCAGTCCCATAGACCACTCTTGCTGCCTGTTTATGTTGACAAGAGCTTTTAATAGAAATTTTGCTAAAAAAATGTTATTATAAAAATGTTTTTTTTTTTGTAAATAAAAAAAATAAAAAAAAATAAAAATAATATGTTAATTTTATTAAAACTCAAATTGAGAAACTTTTATAAAAACATCAATTTAGTATTTTTAAGATTTATAATGAAATAAATAAAATATTAACTTATAAAAAATTTTAATATTTTTTATAAATTATAATATTTAATATTTTTAAAATCCAAAAGAACTTCTCCACTTGTACCAAACATAGTCTTAACTTGAGCCCAAGAAACACTGAAACTAAACAATATTATCCGGCTCATCTAAGCCTAATTTAGGAAGGCAAACACCAAACAGCTTTTAGTCATACAAATGGATCCGGAGCAAGTCGGATCTCTCCTCAATCCGGAGTCTTCTACGTTCCCTGTTCCGACCGGGAGAATAATGCAGACGACAGAGAAAACAAAAACACGAAAAGAAAATTTAAGAAGCAGAGATCTTCTGTTGCTGCTGCCGTCTGAAATCGAGAGGGAAGAGTCGGTGGCGAAGAACAAGAGGAAGAAAAGATGATGTCCGGGAAGTATACCAGCTTAGAAAATCACCAAGTCTCGGGTTCCGTACCGGTAATCGAATCATAATAATCAGCTAATCTTTGTCTTTTACATTTGCTTTCTCCTTGAACAGATCTCATTTCCGTAATTCTTTTTGCTTGATTTCGTAGGCCGTTACAGATCAAGGCCACACCACCGGCAAATTCTCAGGTAAGATGTATTGCCGTTGTACTCATTGTGTTTGGTTGGTGAGAAAATGCCGAAAGGAAAGTAAAAGAAAATTTGAATATGACGTGCTTGTTTCTCTTATAATTTATGGTTTTGACTCTGTGAATCCTTTGTTGCAGACGCTAACCTTCAAATCTTTGTTCCATCAGGAGCACAAGGGAAGATTCCTGCCGGTTCTCATCCTCCTCGTGATGCTGATGGTATTATGTTGCTTGGATTTTGATTTAATATTCTTTTGTTTTAGTGGTGCACTAGTGCTTTGATTCGTATTATCCCGTGATGCATTGATTTCTATGTTGCTTTCATGTATATTGGGGTGCATATAACTTTCTTGGACTTTTCCTGTTGAATGCGAACCATACATATTGAATTGTCTTATTACAGTTGATGATGTTTAAAGTTCATTTTGGCAAAGGAATAATTTTAAGTTTGAGAGGCCACTGGCAGAAGCTGTGTGGCTAGGTCAAAATATTGTCTTAAAGTTTCTTAAAAATGCCTGATATTGTGAGCTTTCTACTTGAAATGGTTTTAACATTTTTCTTTGGCTTGTCGATAGCTGGATTTTTCTTTATTTATTATTTGAATCATGTTAGTAACTTTGTTTGCTGTGTATTTGGAGTCTGCTGTGGTGATTGGTTAAAATTTAAGATGACATTGGTGAAAGCCATATTCAAGACTACTCCTTAGTGCTTACCCTTCTGCTATCTCTTTTTGATGTATTGATGAGTTGACTATTAAAGAAGATGATTGGTTAAGAATTTACAATCTCTATCAACTTAGGCTGAAAATGAATGATATAATCTTCTTTTCCCTAAAAGCTTAATAGTGTAGCAGATATAACTGTGTTTAAGGAACTTAGGAACTGCATTCCTTATAAGATTTGTGGCCAATGACAATATATAACCTAATACAGATACATTTTCGAGACCTGCAGGTGGTTCTGATGAACCACCCGAGTCAGGTGGTTGCCTTCGGACATTTGCTATTGCTACATACAAGCCATACTTTGATGTTGACACTTCAGATGTATTAGACAGGATTAAGGAGTCACTATTTCCATTTAGAGGAAGCTTTACTGAAAAAACAGCTGAAAACCCTGATCTGTAAGTTTTCATCCTGTGATTCATTTTTTTTTTAAATGGATTAATTTAATTGTTTATCAAATTGTTGTAATGTTGATTATGCATGCTATGTCCATTAAAGATTAGATAATTTGTTATTTGTTCATGTCATTAGTGACATCAAAGTAGTTTGATGGTCATCATACAGTAAACTAAGAAGAGAATTGATGATAGCCTAACAAGATCATGCGTTGGTTCTTTGGATATGGAGAAGTGGAGAAATCTTGAGAATTTGAGCATAAGATAAAACCAGTGCCAATTAGAGAATATTATTCCCAGCTCTGTTTGATAATTTGCTACTTAAACATTGTAGGGAGTAGCTGTTTTTAATAGGTTAGCCTTTCATTTGATTTCTATGCCATTTGGGTCACCAATCAGTTGTATTCTAACACTTATAACCTGAAGGATTGCTCATCTTTCCTGCACCCATCTTCCTCGTGTCTTTTATTTAATGAAGAAATACGTGTGATTGTAAGTTTAAATGCTGTGCAGGTATGGACCATTTTGGATATGCACCACCCTTATATTTGTAGCAGCTTCAATTGGCACTTTTGTCACCTATATAGCACAAAAGCTGCAGAAAAAAGAATGGAATTATGACATCAATCTAGTAACATGGTCTGCTGGTGTGTTCTATGGCTATGTCACTGTTGTTCCTCTTGCATTGTATGTAATCCTCAAATACTTCTCAGCTCCATCAGGCCTTGTCCAGCTGTTTTGTCTCTATGGGTACTCCCTATTTATCTTTATTCCAGCATTGGTAAGTACTTTGGTTTTCATATTCTGTTCTCCCAAGTTTTAGGAAATTATTTCCCTCTTGTTTTCTCATAGTATCTCACTTTGATACCCCAAAATTTTAATAAAAGAGAGTCCAAGCTTTTTACAGAATGACATTAGAAAGAAAGATGTTTTGCTAAAACACGATATTTTTTCCCCAATAAGTATTCTCAGAATTTCCTTCAACTAGCTGAATTTGGTTACATGTAACTGTTTGCAGTGTTTATCAGTTGTGCCCGTGGAAATTTTCAGATGGGTAATTGCAGGTGTAGCAGGGTTCATGTCAGCAACCTTTGTGGCACTTAACCTCAAAGCCCATATCAACTCAGCTGGTGAAAGATGGTTCTTGATCGTAGCAGGCATCTTTCTCTTGCAGCTGGCTTTATCTATTGTGCTCAAGCTTTATTTGTTCACTGTTACGGTATAAGAATAAACTATTCTTTTCACAAGGAAACCTTAACAACTTGTACATCAGTGAGAAATGAGTTTTTTGGTCCATCGTCTTTCTATCCTCACAATTCTTCATCTCAAGCATAATTCAGCAAACAAAACAGCATGTATGGATTCATTTTCTGGTTAATATATAAAGGTTAAACTCCAATTTTAGGTCCTTCAATTTGGTCCCTAAACTAAGTAAATAAATTTATCTTGATTTCTAAGATTTGAGATTCTGGTTTATTTATTTATTTATCATATTATATCTTCCATTAACTTTTTGCTAATGTAACACGATAATTAATAGAATAAGCTATTTTTTTTCTTAAAATTAATTTAGAAAATTATTTTATAGGTTGAATTGTATATAATTTATTTTGTAAAATTATTTAAATATTTTTG